GATGAAGAAAGGCACTTATGAGAACAGAAAAAGGGCACTTATTACAAAAGAGGAGCAATTATCAGAAGGAAAATGGCACTAATTACAAAGGATAAGGGGTATACGTGTGAAAATAAATGGGGCACTTTTTGGAGATAAAGGGGCAGTGTCCCACCTGCTTCTGGGAGTGGGGTACACGAATCGGTAGCCTTACATGCTGTGAACCCATTGCAAGTTTCAAACTGATTTGTTTGTGTATTCATTGGCCTTCCAGGGCCTTCTTCGCAGTTTACGTGTTACATGTGTGATAGGGTGGGGCTATGTTAGGCTTCATTCTATGTTGAATACATTATTTCTCAACAAATTTTTAAAGGAAAATTAATGCCAAAGATGTAGTTCAAATAAATCATCACTCTCACTCGAAAGATTTTTTTATTGAGGTCATATTGCTATAGGCTACAAAATACTTGCATAAAATACAAACACTACAAAAACAAAATTTAAAATCAAAGCCAAATTCGATTATTCACATGGAAAATCAGTGCATGAAGGAATTTGGTTTTACCCCTAAACACACTGTACGTATACATCCCACAATCCCTATCTTTTGAAGGTAACAAGTGGCACTGGCTTGTGCATGAATGCCAAAAACAATGAGGTCATCAGGGGGGTGTTTTATAAAGATCCGAAGTTGGACTTAACAATTATGTAAAGCCGTTAGCATCTATGAAAATATTTTGTAAAAGTTATTTTAAAAGGCATGAAATGTTGATTCAAATCATTCATATTTTCTATTATCAAGGAAATTTTATGTATAAAAAAGTCTAAAATACTTCAATTTTCACTTTTGAATATATTTTATTTTAAGGCTACAAATGGCTCTCCATAATTTTTAAGTCCAACTTAGAGTTAAGTTTGAATTAGGATCTCTGTGAAACACCCCCTGTCTAAGTGATACAGCCAATACAATGTTAAAAACTAAAAATGGCAGGGGTATCAGAATGTGCACAACGGAGAATTGTCAACATGACGGTAGCTTAAAATAAAAAGAGACTCGACAGCACACACTGAATAAATACAAATCACACTTTAATACACACACCTCAACTCTACAACAGTATGAGCAAAAATGGTATTTCTAGCCGGTTTCTCGGACAGCTACATGCATTTTCACACCAAAACACAGATATCATTGTGAGAAATATTCAAAACCTCGCCTATCACAAGTTCATACTTCTTAAAACATATGAAAACATCCTGATAACATATTTCCAATATACGCAAGCTTAATTGTTGCAAATTTTTGAGAGTTTTGTTGAAGACACACTTGTTTTTAGGAGCTTTGGAATAGCTTTTTAAAAATTCTTTGTCTGTACATTTGTATAATAGCTGCGCTATATATATATTGATCTAATTATCATAATTATTATAAAATTAGAGAAAACTTGTTGTGTTGTATCGGTACATGTACACATGTTTCATTAAAATACAAGAGAAATAGGGGAAATTTAACAGTAGCTGATTGATGCTATGTCAGTAGAAATCTTGGAAATGGCATAACAGTCATTCTTCTCAAACAAAAATATGAAATGCACTTTAAAAGTCTTTAAAGAGTAACTCAGAACAATTAATTCTGAAAATAATGCCTCCATTACAATATGAAGCCTGAAGTAAAATTGACATTAATAAAAATGTTAAGACTAAAAACAATGATTCACAAATCTTCTCATTAAACTATTCTGCTAAATTTAATAGTTCATAACATTCCAACATTATTAATATCAATCATAAAAATCCTAATGCATAACATAATTTATATACTATGAAAACTTACTTAGACATTATATTTTATTTCAACGAAATAAATGTACTATCTTAAGCTCTTCTTCAAATTCTCTGAACAATAAATACATTGAAAACAAATATAACTCATTAAAAAAATCAATCAATATTTCATGGCAAAATTATGCAATTCATTCACAGATAAAATAAAAAAACTCATTGCATAAATTGGAATTATGAAAATTTGCAATTCACCAAAATTATTGTATTGTGTAATGCTCTCTCCTTCAAATTCTCCAAACAAAAAATATTGAAAACAAATATAAGTCCTTTTGTTTAAAGTCAATTGCTGCCATAGATATTTCATGTCAAAAATGCGCAATTCATTCATAGTTGGAAAAGAAAATTACTTGCATGAATTAGAATTAGGAAGTTTGCAATTTGCCAAAATAAATGTATCGTCTAATGCTCTCCTTCAAATTCTCCAAAAAATAAATATATTGAAAAAAAATATAAATATTTTCTTTTTAATCCATTGTTACAATATATATTTCATGGCAAAAATAAGCAATTCATTCGTGGTAAAAAAAACTCACTTACATAAATTAGAATTAAGAAATTTGCAAAAAGAAGCTTTCTCTAAATTATCCCCCCTCTTTCCTTTCCTGACTCTGAATTTTAAAATTTAAAAATATCAATGTCTTCTCTTTCATAAAACTTTAAATGGTGAAAATATATATGGAACATTTCTTTTGTAAGCTATAAAGATGTAACAGACTTCCATGTTCACAAAATCATAATCATTATCCCTAAAAAAATGTAAATGTCTACTCTTTCATCAAACTTTAAATAGTGAAAATATATATGGAACTTTCTTTTTGTAAGCTGAGATTATGTAACATTTTCTATATATATTCTTAAAATCAGAATTAAGTAAATCGTTATCCCTAAAAAAAAGGTCAATGTCTACTCTTTCATAAAACTTTAAATGGTGGAAAGATATGAAACATTTCTCTTGTAAGCTAAGATTATGTAACAGACTTCCATGTTCTCAAAATCATAATTAGGGACATTGTTATCCCAATAAAATGAAGAATAGGTTCAACTGTCACAAAAAGATTCACTACGCCAATCATGTTTATCAACAAAATCTCACTCTTCCCCCAAAACTAAATTTTGATTTAATCTCACAGGTATTGCATAGGCAGTGAATCGTATTTTGTGTGCAAGAGATTCACACAAATCTAGAATTTAGTTTCAATAGATTTTAATACATGAGGCGCTTGCAGTCGGTCTGATAAATATTCCTCACAAGATAATCCATTCCATATCTTTATAGTTAACAACTTAATTATTTATACTTTTTGTAAATTTCATGTTTTTGGGGTGCTTTTAGTAACTCAAGAATGGAAGCTGGACTGGTTGAATTAGTTAGGCATTTGTTGAATACTTTTACTCGTAAGCTTTGGTATATCACATTCTCAAGAGTCATAAATCGAGACAAATCAATTTATCACGTACCTCAAACGTTACAAAAGTTGGTGAGGCATGAATAATTTAGTTTTTAACTGTATCACTTATGTTTTGAGATGGCAATGGCAATATATTTGGCACAATATTTTTCACCTTTCTATATCAATGCACTGCAAACCCTCTACATGCATTATGTACAAGTTAAAGATAAAGTTGAGTTCTGGTAATGCGATTACCTTTCGGAAGAAAAGGTGTGGAATGAATCAGAAAAAGTTGATCATGTAGCATGTAAGTATTGGTGTGTACTGCAAGGTTCTGGAGTCATCAAAATCATAATAAATTTGACCCAGTCTTGGTAAAGTAACAAGCACTGTACACAGAAAGATGTATATGGGACTACACAAATGGTGTCGGGGCTACGAACCACAATTTTCTTATCTTTCTATGCTCGTTACTCAGCCAGTATACATTTCCTACCAAAATTGTTTGGCAAATGACATTTATTTGTACTCTTGAACATTCAGTGTAAGTTTCGTTTGATTCTGTGAGAATTCATTTTCTTTTTTTACCAGAACTCAAGTTCATCTTTAACGTTCATGCATATCAACAAACACATGTGGAACAATTTTCTCATATATGTAATGTAAGAGTATTGATATCATCTCTGTATCATGCCATTTTCTGTTGTTATCGACGTTAGATTCCTTCCTTTATTTTCTTTGGTTGTGCTTCCCTTCATTGTGTTTCAGCATTCATCACTATTAAACTTTCCTTCATCGTCATACTTCTATAATATTGTCTCTCTTTAAATGTACAATTAAAGGGATAGTTGAGTTCTGTTTTCAGACCGCAATAGCCTTCAAAGTGCACGGTTATTGCTCTTATTTTATCTATGAAATTTCCAGTGCCCTTTGAAGACCTAAAAATGCTATGAAGGTAATTTTAGACCCCAAAATGTGTGAAATTTAGCCAATACGATCATATCAATTCAGCTCCACTTTAAAAAAAAAATACGGTGACTGTAAATTAATGAATTAATTAATAATAACAATACATGGGCCGGCTGGTTGGGCTTAATATAACCAACACGAAAAAGCCAACAAAAAAGCCAACATTGACATTGGCTGAAATACAACGAAAAATGCGCTATTTCGTTTTTCCAATGGCTTTTTCAAATTTTGGAATATTTGTTGTGGTACACAAATATTACAAATCATTATATATGGATATTTCAGCCGTCTCTGAACCCATTTTGATCAAACAGAGATGATTTTGTCATTTAAATGGTATGTTCTTTCAAATTTGACACTCAGTTTTTCATTATCTCACAATTTTTTTTGTGTGTAGGGCCCTCTGCAACAGAACTCAACTATCCCTTTAAATGTGCTCTCTTGTATTGAATTCGCATTTACATAAACATATCAATACTCAACATCAGGATGCTTTGCATACATTCCATGTTTGATTATCAACATGTTAGCAGTGATCTCACAAAACACAATTCATTTCATCATCTTCTATCCCAAGAAAGTTCCCTAGGCTCAAAGCATATCTACTGTTTTGGGGAATAAAAATGCAACTCCTTTCTCTATTTCTCTTCCTCACCTAATATTACCCTTTCCCCCTTCATCCCTCATTTCTCCTCTCCTGTCCTTTAATCCATCACAAACAAGAAAACACTCCACTCCACTCCACATATTTTGCAAACTAGCCCAAGATATCTTGGGATGATTATCTCGACCAAATATCCCGCTAATTGCAACTTCGGGCTGATGAAGACGCAAATTAACTGGATAATTTGCGATCGAGATAGTTCAAATAGCGGGATATTTGGCAATCTCGAGCTGATGAAGACAGGCCTATAGTCTTTCAACAAAAGCCAGTGGACAAGCGACAAAAATCCAGACACAGCTTCCTGGATACTGGAGAGCCCCTTAATACCAGCCCTCACAACCAAAGGATGACTTTGTGGTCTAACCACCTCCAGACCACTCTACATAAACTCTCGCTCAGCCCGAAAGAATCCCTCACATCTGGCTCCAGCGAGACTTGGCCTTCTTGGCTGAGCCTCAACGGCTACGATGCAGAGTCCTAATGCAGAGGTGGGGTTTCGGAGACGAACAAACAACATGTGAATGCAGCCAGGAACAGACAATGGAACACCTGCTAGTCTGTCCACTTCTGCCAGAGCCATGCACCCAAGACAACCTGGAAGCTGTGAATTGCCGTGCCAGAGCCTGCGTGGAGCACTGGACGGGACTTGGGTAGCGACTCGATAAGAAGAAGATCCATCACTTGGAGACTATACCATTTCAGAAATTATCCCAGCACAGAATGGCCTGAAATATTCTAATGCTGTCCTCTTTATCATTTTACAGGGGGATACCATTACAATTTTAATCTCCTTGTCTTTCACCAACTCTTCCTCAACTGTCAGTCGTCCTCTCTTTCACCCTCCCTCCAATCTTTCCTTCTTCATGTTCCCTACTCAGCCTGCATGACCCGGGACATTTATTCAACAACAAAATGGTCCAAGGATCTACCATCATATGCTGTTCTATTTATACTCTATTTATATAAGGGCAAGCTTGTTTAGCTTTCCTTTTCTTTTTCTTTCATCATATATTCCTCCTTCCAACTATCTGTTTCCTCCATGTCCTTTTACTCTGTGACCGGAGGCTTGACCATCTTTGTGAGTATTTCAGCGTAGAAGGGTCCAAAGACGGCTCGGTTGTGGACGACTAGTCGGACGAAGGCTTTGGCTGTTTCGACCACCTGACTCTGCATGGTGGTCAAGCCGGGTGGAATGTTGGCAGAAGGGTCAAACTTAGAGGGTGCTGCAATGGCGGATACAAGGAATCCCCTGAGTCTCAAATCTGTTGATGAGAAATAGAAAGTATTTCATTACAAAATGCGTCAATTTTACACGATAACATCCTAAGAATCAAGCGAGAAATTACATCTTATAAAGAGTAAAAAAAACCAATCCTTAGGCTGAGCACAAATCAGGCACAGTCTAATACCGGTAAGTACTTTTCCTAAATGTTAGTATATCTGATGATTGCCTTAACTTGACAGCTCTTCTATAGTACAGATCAGCGCATTTAAATGTATGAAGGGGAACATGAACAAGTTAAACATTTCAATTAATCTATTGCAATTCATAACATATAGGATAGAATATGTCAAGATATCTTCCCAAGAATAAAATCAGAATAAACAAGGCAACAACTACAAAAAAATTGATTCCTCCCGCATGGAGCAATTTAACAAAACAAAGCAGAAGCAATTTTTAAAATTCAAGTTTGATTATTACAAGGTTCTGTGAATATCATGATTACAAGGTATTTTTCATATACATGATTGACCCTTTGATCTTTGACCTCATGCCCTAAAATCTAGTCACTTCATTGGCTCTGCAAGATACACACATGTCTTGAGTTTGATGGCAATCCGTCCATCGGTTCTAATGATAGTGTAATCACTAGCTATTTTGCACACATAATGAGCCCTTTGATCTTTGACCTCATGACCCTAAAATCTAGTCAGTTCATCGGCTCTGCAAGATACATACATGACCCAAGTTTGGCGGTAATCCATCAATTGGTTCTTGAGATAACGCGATCATAAATGCTTCCATCCTCGATCGGCTCATCAAACTCCGGAAATCCATGAGTTTTCAAACATTCTTTAACAACTCCAATACTAACCTAGAATACCGTACATGTATATGTGGTTATCTTTGAGAGCTAGTGATCGAATCTGACTCTTAAATGCTTCCATCCTCAGCTCATCAAACTCTGGAAATCCATGAGTTTTCAAGCATTCTTTCACAACTTCAATACTCACCTAGAATACTGTGTATGTGGTTATCTTTGAGAGCTAGTGATCTAATCTGACTCTTTAATGCTTCTATCCTCAGCTCATCAAACTCGGGAAATCCATGAGTTTTCAAGCACTCATTCACTTCTTTGGTTACTTGAACTGCTAGGTTGTCAATCACAGCATTGAAGTCACTGAAAATAGAACACCAAATATGAATAATAGACCAGTTCACAGATTTTAGCACATTACTGCAATGACCCTGAATATCCGCAGATCTTCAAAACATGAAGGGGTCCCACTTTTTACATTTTGAAATGATCACTCCTACAAATGATGGAGGTGCTATATAAACAGCCTTTGTTTCCCCTTTTCAAAGAATACTTCCACTCTCAAGGCAAAAATAAGGAATACAGTCTATTTTGTATGGTACTGTTCACACAGAATATTTCAGAAACAGAGAGGATATCTACGGTTCAAAAAAGTCTCTTGAAGACCAAAAAATAGGAACCATTTCTCTGAAACAGTAATGGTTGGCAGTATATTACAGTAGGGGGTGTAACACAGAAAAAATCCTGACCAATCTTAAATAAAACAGATTTTAGAAATCTAGTTTTTTCATTTACGTCGGTGACAGAATGGTGACAGACAGGCTACGAGTAATCCAGATAACTAAAATCCAGATTTTTGATGGGCCATTGCGCACGCGCCGTTTAGGTAGATAAGCATTATGATAGCGCGTTAAAAACCATATGCCAGCCAATCACTGAGTCAAACGTTGACCTTACACTGACCCTAAAGGGGATTATTTCAACATTGGTGTCAGACAGAAAAATCCCTTGAAAAATCCTTTGAAGGGTGAATTATCTTGCTCTGTTAGAGGATTTTTGAAGGGATTTTTGAAGGGATAATCGATGACAGACAGCCAATTAAGAGGATAACTAAAATCTGGATTTTTGGCCTCTGTGTGACACTGCCTAATGTATCACGTACACAAGTGCATCAATCATACCAGATATACAAGAAAACCCTGCACTAATCCACTGCTTACATTAGAGCGTTTTCGCAAACACGACGGAAGCAAAGACAACGGGAGAATTACGGCGATACAGCTCTTCAATCATGTTTAGGGAACGAACGTCATCATGGCCGCATACGGTCGTGAAAATCAACAAGACGGAGGAAATTCTGGTTCGTGCACGCGCAGACTGTTTTTTCGCTCGCTTCACCGTCGTTTTTGCCTTCCGCGTGTTTGCGAAAGCGCCCACAACGTCTGGGCTACCCACGTTTGTCATGGGAAGGGTCCTACTCGGAAGGGTTCATAAATCTAATTACGAGGGATGACTCGAGAAGAAACATGACATGAGATTGCAAATACCCTACATTTTATACAAAAATTGCATGCATACCATCATCCTATTTAACACATACCCACCGCCAGATTCACAATTTCCCCCTGCAATTATTTCAATGTTGGCCTACTGTGGCCTAAGTGAAATATACATTCTCTCAGGAATTTGAATTTTGTTGAATTTTGGATTTTGGTAATAAAAAAATTGTTAATAACAATAGTTGGTTCTTGCATAGCACCCATGTCTGTCACACTCTTATCTCCTGACAACGGATAGTCGACCTGTTCGAAATGTCGAGCCACTCCCGCCACCCATCCTCTCCAAGCGCTATAGTTCTCCTTAGAACTATATGCTAAGAAAGATAACCAACAGTCTTTTTCAAGACTACACCAACAGTAATTTTCAGGACTCCTCAATCCTCCCTCTCTCTCACATGGTGCTTCCGCAAGCCTACAGTATACACTCTTGTCTGTTATCTATCCAAGCTTTAGCATGGCTGCTATTGCGACACTCTAGCATTCATGGAATCGTTTCCTGCCAAGTACCCACTGGATCAATGTCTTGTCAAAGGACATTGTGGCCATGGCATGGACTTGAACCTGTACATTGTGATCCTTAGTCTGGTTACTTAACCATTAAACCACATGAACTCCTTGTCTTTTGGCAAGGTATTAGTCTACATTTGCCACACTCCACCCAGGTGAACTAAATGGGTACCCGGAAGAAATTCCTTGAATGCTTGAGTGGCTTTTCATGGTAGCTTGGCTAAAGCCAGGGTAATAATATGATTACAAGGCTATCTGGGAGAACAGTATTAGCACTGATGAGGCTACCATGGGCTTACAAGACATAGTATCAATCATTAGTATTATTATGATTACTCTTCATAATAACTGGGGGGGGGGGATGTTTCACAAAGATCCTAAGTTGAACTTATCTCTAAGTTGAAATTATCTCTTAGTTGGACAATTATGGAAAGCTGTAAGCATCTTTGAAAAAATCTTTGTTAAAGTTATTTTAAAAGGCATAAAATATTGATTCAAATCATTCATATTTTCTATTATCAAGGAGATTTCATGCTCTTGATGTGAAATTCATGAAAAGTCTAAAATACTTCAATTTTTGCTTTTGAATATAATTTATTCTTAGGCTACAAATAGCTCTCTATAATGTTTAAGTCCAACTTAGAGTTAAGTTCGAATTAGGATCTTTGTGAAACACCCCCCTGATCAAATATAATTGATATACTGAAGATTACCTTGCACCGTCTAACAGGACAAAGAGGTTGTGTTTGAGTTGACTAGGGAAGCCCTGGATGCCTGCTAACATGTTACCGGTATTGGTGTAGGTCACTAGAAGGACGGAGCCCACCAGGACAAGTTTCCTGACCTGTGACCCAAGCTCATAGAAACGTCCCTGGTCCATCAGGATGGTCTAAAGAAAAATGAAAATAAATCACTGTTAAAGTTGAGTTCTGGTCATGCAATTGCATCGTGAAAGAAAGGTATGGAATGAATCAGAAAAAGTTGATCATGTAGCATGTATAAAGTATTGGTGTGTACCGCAAGTCATCAAAATCATAATAAATTTGGCCCAGTCTTGGTAAAGTAACAAGCACTGTACACAAAAAGATGTATATGGGACTACACAAATGGTGTTGGGCCTACTTACCTTGATTTCCTTATCTTTCTATGCTCATTACTCAGCCAGTATATATTTTCTACCAAAATTGTTTGGCAAATGACATTTATTTGTAATCTTGAATATTCAGTGTAAGTTTCGTTTGATTCTTTGAGAATTCATTTTCTTTTTTTTTACCAGAACTCAAGTTTATCTTTAATAACAAGCCGGTCAGGATGAACAAGACCAAATAAGTTAGATATCATTTGCTCGAAACCAGGACGAAATATAATTTTGATTGCTTCATTGCATACAAATCTTGATTTATTTCTAAGAATATAAAGACCATATTCACCAAATTTCATTAAAATATCTTTTTGAAATTAATTTTTCAAACAAATGTGAAGTAATGTTTAATCCTACTAACTGCACTAAATAAATCCCAGGTAGCATGCCACCATCATAATTCATTGAAAGATATAAAATATGTCAATTATTGTTGCTATCGCAGGGATTTACCAAACCATTTTAAAATAGTGTGCAAGACACAAGAATTATTACAACAACCATTAAAATGCCAAGAAATATATTCTGAATACATTTAATATTTATTTATTCATTTTATTTAAAGATACTATGTACATTTTGCAGCCAACATCAAATTGAGTAGAACTTTGCAGGTATTATGAATATGTCATGTATGTCCTATCTGTGAAATTTAAACATTAAAAGTGCCCTAGTATTCAAATTATGCAAGGAAACCCGTTTACCTTCTAGACTTCACTGTCAGACACTATTGAGTGACTGACTTACATTTTTTTTTCTTTTGTAATAACATAGATAAAATGTGCTGTAACAGGTACATGAGCATTTGTCTACATCAATGACCCACTACTTGTAATAGCCAAAATTAAACTGATTGAATCTTTGTGCAGCACAAAAGGTACGACCATTCGGTAAAAGGGTATGAAAATCAAACTACTAATATTACTTAGGTGATTGCAATAACTTAAGGCGATTCAGCAACATATGGTAATTATTTTCCCACTAAAAGCCATTTTCATGTCCTTTCATTTTGAGGAAGCTCTAAATTAGTAATATCTTCCAAATACTGGTGGAAGTTTTTTTTGGTCTGCAAATGGGACGTACCTTTAAACAAGGTAACTTTCTCAGTTTCATATCTGTTTTTCCTGAGAGGCCCTGTACAAATTATTCAAATTGAACAAAGTTTAAATACATACATACCATATCATAGATTAATTTTTTTTTTTTTTTTTCATTGCTGCCATTGCAAGTATTCACTCAAATAATATCACACTACGTGTGGTATACAACACACACAAGAACCATTTAAAATGGGTGCTGCCAAAATTCCATTTCATCTTCACCTCTGGAAAGGTCATGGCTTCTCTGGGGTCAGCATTCAGCAGATCGACATAAGCATGATTCAAAATGGCTGCCGGTGAGATGACGGAGCTTGGCACTGGCCCATTGCTACAGGCCCCTTCGCTAGATGAAGATGCTTGTTGTTGCTGTTGCTGCAACGCCTCTTGTTTCTTGACCTTATCTGCTAGATTCTCTCTTGCTTGTTCTAACCATTCACTCGTATACTGTAGGCCATCTGAAGGTGATAAGGATGATGATAATGATAAGAACGATAGTAATAATAATAATTGTAATAATAATATTAACTCTTTAGCACCTAGAGACTGTGTGAAACATGCCAGCTTATTTCCTTTGACATTTCGTAGAGGAAAAAACAAAAAATACCCCTACCACGATGTGCGTTGTAATACAAAATTGCAACTTCGGCAGGGTGTGCAGTTGTGTTGCATGCACGGCAGTTCCGTAACTAACGGTCCCTTCTTTTACTTTTTCGCGATGCAATGGTACGGACTTAGATCTAGATCTACCGGTACATTTTGTTAGAAAAATAAATTATGTAGTTTATTTTCGTCTTTATGTCAACAATGCAACATAAAATCGTTGGTAAGATGTGTGGAGTTATTCAACAGATGTCCTGTACCATTGTATAGTCATGGTAGTCCCATATGTCTAAATGGACGTGCTGTTTTGACTGCTGAATTTTTAGTTGTTGCGCAAAGGCCACACCCAGACTTTTTGATATTTTCTCTTCCGAAAATACTGCGGCCTTTGTGCCATCAAATACGGTAGATGGATATCAGTCAACGTTTCAGAAACTGACCTTGTTGGGTTTTGAGGAATTCCTGGAACTTGTTTCTCTCGTACTCGATGGACTTCTGTTGCAGGTGTGGTCGTAGGCTCTGAATGGTGAAGTTTGCCATGTCTAGCTTCATGAGCTCCAGGACTCGGAAGATCTCCCTGAGAAAATAACAGTCAACATAATAATAATAATAAAAACAATAGGCATTCATCTAGCGCTGTCTATCTACACAAATCTATTCCAAGGCGCACAAGAAAAATAGAATAAGAGAGTTTAGATGTGTGTCATAGTGCCAATTACAAGTATTCAAAAAAGAAGATAAGATTTCAGCTTGGATTTAAAGGTTTCTAAGGAAGTTATGATTCTCCAATTAAATGGTAAATTGTTCCAAAGACAAGGTGCTGCAAATGAAAAAGCCGTTCACCACAGGCTACTCGTGTCTTGGGGATCTTAAGGAGATGCTGGTGTGATGATCTTAGACTACGAGCTGGTGTATGAGGCATAACAAGGTTGAAGGTACTATTCATTTTGCAGTTACTAATTTTTTGTGTACATATGAAGAGTTTAATTCCAAAAGGAGCTAAATCCATTTTTGTAACTTCAGATAAAAAAACAAACTGCGTAAAGGCATCTATGCAAAAGTGATATTAGAAGCTGCATTTTTTTCATCATTGCTCCCAAAATTTGGGTAAATACTTTTGTTGAAAGACGGGTACTTAAGTGAACAATTTTCTGATATGAATAACTTAATTTTCATTGAAAGTGGATTTAGCTCCTTTTGGAATTAAACTCTTCATATGTTCATTTTTATGCTTTCCATGCTTCATTTTTATGATTAATTTTTTTTTCTTCATTTCTTCACCAACAGTAACAATATCGAAAATAATATCGCCAGTGATATCGTCGCTGTTTTCACGAAGTGATGGTAGTGAAAAAAAATTGCATTCACTTTGCGTTACGATTTTCCTCACTACCGTCACTTTGTGAAAACAAGGACGATATTTGTTAGTCACGCAATGTATGGTCAACAAGGGATCTAAAAGATCACGACGTTTCGTGCGCCGCTGCAACACTTCGTCAGTAACAATATGTGTACAAAATATGTCTTAACAAGAGTAAAGAAATATCACAGAATCATAATATATGCTAAAGGGTGGAAAATGGGAGCAGCAAAAAGAACATGTGCTAGTTGAGCTTGGCCCCTCTACAAAATTAAAACTAGATGGAATTTTGACTGCGCGCAGTCGAAAATGATGCCTCCGCCATAGAGCAATTTAAACAAGTTTGGAGTTTAAATCTCCAGTGGTTCTTGAGATATCATGATAACAATCTCAATGTATGGAATTTCATAAGTTGACCTCTGTGACCCTTGACCTTTGACCTACATGCTCCAAAATCTAATCAGATTGTCTTCCTATGGTGATACACACTATCATTAAGTTTGAAGTTTAAATCTCCAGTGGTTCTTGAGATATTAGGATATGGTGATACATACTATCATTAAGTTTGAAGTGAAAATTCTCCAGTGGTTCTTGAGATATCGCGATACAATCTCAATGTATGGAATTTCATAAGTTGACCTCTGTGACCCTTGACCTTTGACCTACGTGCTCCAAAATCTAATCAGATCGTCTTCCTATGGTGATACATACTATCCTTAAGTTTGAAGTTTTTACATCTCCAGTGGTTCTTGAGATATCATGATAACAATCTCAATGTATGGAATTTCATAAGTTGACCTCTGTGACCCTTGACCTTTGACCTACGTGCTCCAAAATCTAATCAGATCGTCTTCCTATGGTGATACATACTATCCTTAAGTTTGAAGTTTTTACATCTCCAGTGGTTCTTGAGATATCATGATAACAATCTCAATGTATGGAATTTCATAAGTTGACCTCTATGACCCTTGACCTTTGACCTACGTGCTCCAAAATGGAATCAGATTGTTTTCCTATAGTGATACACACTATCACTAAGTTTGAAGTTTAAATCTCCAGTGGTTCTTGAGATATCATGATAACAATCTCAATGTATGGAATTTCATAAGTTGACCTCTGTGACCCTTGACCTTTGACATACGTGCTCCAAAATCTAATCAGATCGTCTTCCTATGGTGATACATACTATCCTTAAGTTTGAAGTTTAAATCTCAAATGGTTCTTGAGATACCGCGCTATCAAACTCAATACAAGGAATTTCATAAGTTGACCTCTGTGACCTGTGACCTTTGACCTACGTACTCCAAAATCTAATCAGATCGTCTTCCTATGGTGATAAATACTATTCCCGAGTCTTAAGTTTAAATCTTAAATGGTTCTTGAGATATTGTGATAACGGTCAAACGGGACGGACGTACAGACGGACAACCCGAAAACATGATGCCTCCGGCACCACCTTCGGTGGCGGAGGCATAAAAATAAAAGACATTCAATTTTGTATATGACTGATATGCCTTGAGCCCTAAATTTATTTCACATGATGTCATGTTTGTTGTAAACTAATGATCTTTATCTGAAATACAGATGTAGTGTTAAACATGACTTTAATAACTATATTCTTACAGGAGGGGTGGCGAGTCATTTTGAACCCTGTAAACGTGTGCCCTGCCAAAATTTGGCTTTAACTTATGGCTTATTTCAGAGAACAAATGTGAATTAAATTGAATTGAATTGACAATTATTTCCATCATCACGACAATATTTACAAAGATAAAAGATGGAATATGATAACAGATAACAATATCAAAATTACCTGTAAATTGACATAATAACTAAAGAAAATATGAAAGTATAAAGCAGAGTACAAATGGAAAATGGTGCAGCCATGAAAGCCAATAAGGCTTGACAATTGAATGCGCTAGGTGCACAAGAAACAATAACATACCAGTAGGCTGTTGAAGAAAAAAAAGGGATTGCATTTCAGTATTAGAGATGAGGTCTTAAAGGTATAGACTAGTTTTAAAAATGCCCCCCCCCCCCCTCCCCTCTCAGAAAATGTAATGAAAGCTCTTAATACCAATATTACCATTGACTAATACGTGATGATACAAATATTGCCGGGAAACCGCCTACTAATTGACATATTTGGTCAATTATCATATCGATCCGGCCTGGATAGATATCGCGTAGTCCCACATACATCTTTCTGTGTACAGTGCTTGTAACTTAACCAAGACTGGGCCAAATTTCTTATCAGTTTGATGATTCCAGAACCTTGCTGTACACACCAATACTAGATGAATAACCTTTTTTGATAGATTTCACAACGTTTCTTTCACGATGCGATCGCATGACCAGAACTGGTCTATACCTTTAAAATAAATTATGCATAATAAAGAGAAAAGAAGTTTCTTGTAAAGATACATTTAAAAATTACTATAAAAGCACCTGAAGATCTCGACCGGTTCAGTCAGGGTGGCCAATTTGGCAATCTCTTCATCCCTGACTGGAGCACAGAGCTTGGACATCACCTGGACTACAAAGGCCGTCAGCTTACCGACATCGAGGGCCTGGTGGTCAGCTTGTTGCTGAATGAGGGTGAGGTCCATGACCTCGAGAATTTGAGTTTTGATCTTGTCATTGTGCGGAAGAAGCAGTGACAGCAGAATCTGTAGAGGGAAAGTATGAAATTAAACATGGTCAAATTGGCAACTTAGTTACAAGGAATAAGCCCATTCCAGTGGCCTCTAAGTTTGACGTTAGAGCTTGCAATAATACTAGTAGTAACAGCAGAAAACGATTTTACTTGATAACTTGTTTAACACAAGGCCAATCAGCCACAAGCTATTTGTTAAAAAGCAGGGGGGATGTTTCACAAAGATCCTAAGTTGCAGGGAAAAATATATCAAAAACATTTCGGGGGCTACTTTTCAAGCTTGCTTGCATGAAAATAACACTCTTCATTTGTTTTGCATTGAGCTCTATGCAATTTTTTAGGGGCTCTTTTATGACTTTCGAGGGCTCTTTTGGGCATTTCGGGGGCTAAATTGCCCCGAGCCCCCATGTATTTTTCTCTGCTAAGTTGAACATATCTCTAAGTTTGACTTAAAAATTATGGAGAGCCATTAGCGTCTTTGAAAATATTTTGTAAAAGTTGTTTTGAAAGGCATAAAATGTTGATTCAAATCATTCATATTTGCTATCATCAAGGAGATTTTATGTTCTTTGTGAAACACCCCCCTGGACTTGTACGTCTACTCTTTTGAGAAAATTCGTTCAGTATTTTATGATGTGGAATTTATAAAAAGTCTAAAATACTTGAATTTCTGCTTTTGAATATATTTCATTTTAAGGCTACACATGGCCATAATTTATGGGTCCAACTTAGTGTTAAGTTTTACTTAGGATCTTTGTGAACCATCCCCCCCCCAGGTTTCGAGAATACGTAGAATCAAATCATAATCATTTATTATGATTTCATTTTGATGTTTTTTATCTTTTGCCGAATAAATGTGGATTTTGAATTTGAAAAAAAAAATTCTAAAAAAAAAAAGTGCTCATACCGTTTTGATCTCTCCTATGAGGGTGACAGCATGCGTATACGATGGCGGGTCGTCGGAAAGTTGGGCGCCCAGGCTATCCCAGAATGCCTGATGGACAACCTTATGCACCTGCTTCTCAATTCTGAAAATAAATTGTACCAGGGGGGTGTTTCACAAAGATCCTAAGTTGAACTTTACTCTAAGTTGGACTTAAATTTATGGAGAGCCATTTGTAGTCTTGAAATAAAATATATTCAAAAGCGAAAATTGAAGTATTTTAGACTATTTATAAATTCTACATCAAGAAAATGAAATCTCCTTGATAATAGAAAATATGAATGATTTGAATCAACATTCTATGCCTTTTAAAATAACTTTTACAAAATATTTTCATAGATGCTAATGGCTTTCCATAAATGTTAAGTCCAACTGAGGATCTTTGTGAAACATCCCCTGGACTACATTAATATAAATGTAAGAGACTTTTGAAGTTAGAGTCAGACGTATTACTAGCTGTTATCATGATTGCACTTTTTCAGCAGGTAATTATCTTCTCATCAAAAAACATAAATTTAAACATCAGTTTTTACCCTCTTATGCTGCTGTACTCGTTGCTATTTGACCATTAGCTCTATTGATCCAAATATACTTGAAACTTTAAAGCAATTTGCAATGGTCAACGCAAATATATCCGTGGGGTTGGCTAACCATGTCCATATACATATTCGCTTTCCTCTATCTCTCTTTCCTTCACTTATGTAATGGTAAAAATGAAGTTGTTTTCTTACTTTGTATTGCCACATGAAATGATTGTAATAATTCAATTGTTTTTCTTTTTTCAAATAAATACCATAATTTTGTTGTATAGGACTTTCCTTAAAAAGCTAAATGTCTGTATGAGTCACTGTTACCTTCTGTGCCATGCAAAGACAGCATGCATTGAATTTATCATACATATATCTAATGCCTGTCTTTCTGTAGAATTCAGTTGTTGAATTAAAAGCAAGACAGCATTTGGGTTTGTGAAAACCAAACAATCCATGATACTTACGAATTCTCTGGCATTTCTCGAGGCGACAATTTGAAGTTCCCATCGACTACGATTTCATGGGCGAGGGCCATGTTGGAAACGAGACCAGCAGCTGTGATCAGTTCTTCAAAAGTCTTGTTTTTATGAGGAGAGGCTGCAAGAGTCCCAGAAAGAACAATTGAAATGTTACTGTTAAGGCAGGCCATTCTTGCCACAGGTTACTCTCACCATTGGTCTCTCATTTTTGATCTTTAAATAATATTTTTTCCTTCAATAATGAACTCTCAAAAAAGATAAATTCTGTAGATTTGTGACCAAGATTTGCACGTACCTCGAGAAACCAATGCCAGGAATGGTAAGAGAAACTAGTGGCATGAACGACTTGCCATAGTTATGTCCAACTTAAAGTCAATCTTAGTCTTTGTGAAACACTCCCCTGACAATTGATGATGATGATGATACAGTTTTGACTAATTTTCAAATTTTTCACTCAAAATGCTAAGTATTGGCTTTCACTCACTCACAAATACTATCATCGTTCTTTTACAGAAAATGTTAAAGCCCTACTGCACTACTTGTAGCGCCCTCTATATAACAAACAATGCCTTATCGGTGACCATTAGTCCCCCATGATCCTCTTTTTTTAATGTTATTTGAGAGCTGAGTTGATGAGATAACCACCTGTCCAATGACCTTGCAGGGTGGTCTAATCCCTCCTTTACACTAGTACAGATGGCCTTTAAATGAAACTACAATTTTTACCTTTATACATGTATCTCATAAGCAGAAGCGTTACCTTCAATCCCAGCAAAACTTCCATGAGGCCTGCCTGTGGATGTGGAAGAACCAGGCGCCGGCGATTGCTGTCTTTGTCTCTTTCTCAGGATCTCCCCTTCTCCCGATGATTCCAGAGGATCTGAGTCCGAAGTTTGGATCTCCATCTCTTGGGTCCCCTCTTCTGGTTGGGCCTGTGCAGGGTCCGAGCTCTGGTCCTGGTCCGAACTGGAAGGTCCAGTGCCACTGTTTGGTTTGTCTTCTAACGGCATCTTCTCAACTTTGATTATGCAACTTTAATGGAAGTGTAGTATTTTCTATAAAAGTTGGCCTCTCTGTCCGTTTAGACCTGAAATTAGGAAGAGGAGGAGGAGAGGAAGAAGAAAAAGGTGAAGAAGATGATGGAAATACAACAATAAGAATAAGAAAATGAAGAAGAAAAAAAGAAAAAGAAAAAAGGAGGATGGAAAAGGGAGATATTTTTTTCTCAAGTCAGCAGAGATCAATCTTATTTTTAAAGAAGAATATACATACAGAACAAACAAATAAAAAATGAAAAGACAAAAATAACTATAGCAGGACATAAAATATTCATATGCCTTTCCTTCCAAACTGACATATACTGAGGGTGGACTGGATTGGTATTCATATTTTTCTTTCTGAAGCTCAGTCCGAATCCAGTGTCATTGGTTTCGTACAAATACATTTTATGATTTAATGTTTGAATGTTTAATTGGAAATGGTAAAATACCTGCATGTAGAGTAAAGGCTCGTTCAGAAATGACCGCAGCGTTTTTCTAGTGACATGCAGTATAATACGCCTCACATTTCTGAATGTTATGATACAGAGCTCAGTTGTCATTCATTTTAAATGTAAAAAAAAGAAAGCGGCTTTATTGTGACGGTTTACCGTGTTTCATTTGAACAAGCCTTAAACATTTCCATATTTCTCTGTATTCTCTTGGCATACATGCTAAATCACAGAAGTACTAGAGCCGGAGGGTCGAGGGAAGACAACGAGACATTTAGACCAAAAGGAGAGAATACACAAAAAGTTTAATGATGAGATGATTAAATTACATGTCAGTTTCTTGTCTAGACCAAAACAAAACAAAACAAAACAAGGGAAATGCTCCTGGCAGTCTCGCCTGCTTTACATTAAATTGAGGTTGGGACATTATTTATAGGCAGGGTGGCCCATTAGCAGGACCCAAAAAATGAAATCCTCTGAAAATAGGACTCAGCAACTTGAAGTGAATATTGACTAAGAATCATCAGAAGAATTATTTTCTATTATTTGTACCAAGATTGACAACTTTCACGAAATATGAACAATTAACAAAAATAGATTTCTTAATTCTCATAGTTGTGAAAACGTCATCATGACCTAAAATTAGGCCTGAGTCAAACCGTTTAACCGACGGTTATCCGACCGCATTCATCAAAACCGTTTAGCATTTCTCGCTCCGGTTAACCGTTAATTGCATACATTTTGGAATGTGCTAATAGCCGAGGATAAAGATAATCAAAGAAACCGCAGTGTAATATTACACCCTGCGCGCTAGCTTTCTGGCAGCAGTAATCCCCATGAATGAATTTGTAAACAATAAAACAACCAGCCCCCTTCTCTCTTTTCTCACCCTCTTTATTCCCTTCTCTCTGCAATGTGTTCATCGCTCATGTACCTTTTCTTATTACTGCACTCTCAGCTCACAACTTTCTAAATGTTTACACATTCGATGGTCAGTTCCTCTCACATCCCTTCTCCCCCGAGTCTCTCTCTCTCTCTCTCTCTCTCTCAATATTAATATCCATCCCTTGCCGACTCGCCCCGTAAAATAATGTTCATATATAAATAAAATACAAAAATATTGATAACAATAATAATTGAAGTTTTAGAAATATCAATCAACAAAGTCTTGGATATTATTTGTGAGTAATTTAAGTTTTTGATCATTCTTCAATTCAGCCGATTAACACAGCCACCCTTTCTTACTTCGATCTTCACTCATGTCCCTGCCTCGTCCATGCAGGGACATGCAGGGACATGCTAGCCCATATGCTCTCTCAGTCACACACACATGTACACACAAACCTCCGGCGCCCAATACACTGTACATACACACAGATGGAGAGCTCATGCTTGTCACATGCACACATGTGGGCGTGGCTTCTTGACCTCCCACTGAACTGGGTACGGTGAAAGCACGCGCGGTCACCAACCTGTAATTTATGCTGGTATCAAACTCCACCCACATAGCTAGAGAACCTTCCTGATTGGTCACTAACTTGGATCAGCTCATTGCAGGGTGTGTCTTGGGTGTGTGTGATACACACTTCCACATAATTTCATATGGCAATGATACATGCAGGGAGCTCTCTCCCTGACCATGTGCAAACATTGCATTGCAAAGGCATATATAAGCACGTCACAGATCTACTAACTTCACAGAGTAACTTTGCAAGGTTAATCATGATATCAAATTCAGATGAGGAATAATAAGACATGTTTTATGTTGTTTATTACTGGTCTCTGTTTATCAGGATGACCCAATTTGTGCCATAGTCCGGGGCTGGGAATGCTCAGCCCGACAGTCTGAAGACCAGCAGCGTTCCGAGCTACAGCACTATTAAAAATACTGTATTTTCACTTTTTCAGATTATTATTAAACGGTTAAACGAAACCGCCCGTATACTTTTAACGGTTAACCGTTTAGCACAAAAAACGTAATGACTCAGGCTTACCTAAAATGACCTTTGACCTTGACTTTGTGACCTGGAATTTGTGTCATATGATTTGTGATACTTGATAACCCTTGGGTACAAGTTTCATGGAATTTGAACAAACGCTTTTGAAATTATGCTAAAAATTCAAAATCTTGATGTTGACGCCACATCAAAGTCAAAGTTCGTTGACCTGAAATGACCTTTAACTTTGACTTTGCAACCTGAAATTCTACTCACACGATTGGGGATACTTTATAACCCCTACATGTATGTTTATATTTTATGGAAGAGGAATGTATACTTCTTCTTCTTCTTCTTCAAGATAATCTGCCTCCTTCAATACTGAAGGTTCTTGCAGATGTCGTATACCCGGCTTGGTTGGGGTATGCAGGTGGACCATTACACAGGGGTTTCCCCCTACTCTTGTACGAATAGTGCAATGGGTTCTTAACGTGCAAGGGTTGTGACTCTCCTGTACACGGAGCCTCCATTTAACGTCCTATCAGAGGTATGGAGTGTTTTCCACTTGACATAACCTGCATCTATGAACAAGGGAAGGGGCACGTTAACACACAAAATTATGCTAAAAATTCAAATCTTAACCTTTGGTTAAGCTTTTGATGTTGATGCAACATAGTCTAAGTTTGTTGACCTGAAACGACCTTTGACCTTGACTTTCCGTCGTCAATGGAAAAGCGGCGCCTACAGTATCTAGCTTTTTTGCTACGCAGGCGAATACATAGCCTATCACTGCAGGAATCCAAGGTGAGTGAGAACCATGGCTAGCCTAACTACCGTATTTGCCGGCGTAAAGGCCGCAGTATTTTTGGAAGAGAAAATATCAAAAAGTCGGGGTGCGGCCTATGCGACGAAAGAGTAAAAAAAAATTAAAAAAGTAAGTCAAAACCAGCACGAATTTGCACATATGGGACTAGATCTACGAACGGTACAATAACTATACATTTCCACACATCTTACCGACAATTTTATCTTGCATTGTTGACATGAAGACGAAAATAAACTTCCAAAAACAACATCATCTGCCGATAGATCTTGATCTAAGTTCGTGCCAATGCATTGCAAAAGTAAAAGAAGGGCCCGTTTAACGGAGCTGCCGCAAAGCATACAGCACGCGAAGTCGCTATTTTGAATCCATTTCAATACACAAGAGAGAGGCGCAATGTATACATCACAAAAAACTACATACGCTATCATCAGTGCGGGATGGCTGAGCGGTCTGAGGCGGTGATTTTAGTCAAATCAACATTTCTACGCAAGAGATCAAATCCCGACTTCGACAATTTTTGTTGTTTTTTGTTTAAATGTCAAAATGGGGGTGCGGCCTATACGGCGCTGGGGCCTTATCGCCGGCAAATACGGTAACTAGCCTATTAAAGTAAAGGCTAAGCCTAAGGAAAATCTTCATTTCAAAGTCGAGTCTCAACCTTTGCTACGCAGGCAAGACCAAAACATATCCCCCAAACAGGCCAAACAGAAACAAAAGTAAAATTAAAAGCAAAACAAAAGAAAATTATTTATAGAAAAAAGTCAAAACACAAACGGTGAAACGCAACAAACAAAATAATTTAAAAAAAACCCAAAGTCCAAACACAAAGAAAGGAAATCTTCCATCAACAGTCCAACATATTTTTTAAGTTGACTGAGTAAGAGTTGAGGCAAGAGTTGATTTGAGTTGAGACTTGACTATGAAATGAAGATTTACCTTAGTCTTAGCCTTTACTTAAAGGCTAGTTAGTTCACTCCAGCAAAGCATAGAGTCAATGCTAATGCGTATTGACCTCTAGCACTGCATACTTGCTGAGAGGCAGGTATAACACACAAATACACACACCACACACTATTGCATACTTATGCACACAACAAAGATGATGTGGCTGATAGGCAAATTTGACAGTAGACTTACAATTTAAATTTTGTAATTATTCTTTTTTACATCGGTACATTGAAAAAAATGGTATTTTACTGCTATTAAGGTGTCATCAATTGTCACTAAATTACCGATTTTGGTGAAGTCAGTTGAGTTTTGGACACTTGTGTTTGAAATGTTGAGAATCAATAAAACAGCTTTCAATTCACAGCTAGGATAGTAATGCAGCTATGTGTGTCACAACCCAAAGTCCAAACACAAAGAAAGGAAATCTTCCAGCAACAGTCCAACCTATCTTTTAGGTTGACTGAGTAAGAGTCGAGGCAAGAGTTGATTTGAGTTGAGACTCGACTTTGAAATGAAGATTTTCCTTAGGCTAAGCCTTTACTTAGTCTAGTTAGTTAGGCTAGCCATGTAGAACTTAACTTGCATTTAGCGCATGCGCAGAACGTTCATCCGATCTCGGCGAATTGCAACCTCATTTTACTAAATTGGCCCTTCTTATTGGCTATTGCTGGCTTGCATTCACTCATTGTTATAAGATATTGGTGCGAGGAGGAAGCTTGCGATTATCCGTTTTCACCGATGCCATTGAACTTAAGCGCGACTTAAGTTCAATGGCAAAGTCAATACGTAATATTACGTCACACCACAGAGATTTTGACATGTCCTGCTTTAAACAGGTGACGCACTTTTCACACATAACTGATGCACACAGGGCATTGCACACACATAAAATAGAAAAATCAACAAACATCTCAGAATAAATTTCCAGTTTGTACCTTAAATGACAAAAATGAGAATTGTTCAAACTTTAAAGGTAAAGACCAGTATTGGTAACGCCCCAATTTCAAAAAATGAAATGGAAGCTCTCATTACCAATCATGTGAAAGAATATGTTTTGACTAATACATGATGATAAAAAATTTGACGGGAAACCGCCTACTAATTCATATATTTGGTAAATTTATCTCTCTCATGGTCGTGTGAGAGAGATAGGGTAGTCCCATATACATCTTTCTGTGTATAGTGCTTGTAACTTTACGAAGAATGGGCCAAATTTCTTATCATTTTGATGATTCCAGAACCTTGCAGATGCTAGATGCTAGATGATCAACCTTTTCTGATCGATTCCACAACGTTTCTTTCACAATGCAATCGCATGACCATTACTGGTCTTTACCTTTAAACATAGTTACGTAAGACTTCAACCTAAGTGCAATACTTAAGTGAAAAAAATCATAACAAATAGATCTAGAGTTAGTAGAGAGTTTTAACTGAAATATCATCATTTTGGTATAAAAAAAAACTGAAAAATCGCATGCTTGCTTGTCGCACAAATATCTTATAGCATTGAGTGAATGGAAAACAGCGATAGCCAAAAAGAAGGGCCCTTGTCGGCGCCAATTTAGTCAAATGAGCCTGCGATTTGCCAAGATGGGATGAACGATTTGCACATGCGCTAAATGTAACTCCAGCAAAGCATAGAGAGTCAAAGCTAATGTGTATTGACATCTAGCACTGCACTACCTGTAACTCCAGGGAGCTCTGACGCCGACGCAACCTTGGGCATATTCAGCAAGTTTGACTGTGGACTCACAATTTGAATTTTAAAATTATTCTTTCTAACATCAGAAAGTTGGAAAATTGTATTTTACTGCTAGAGTCTATTTATTTAGATTCTAGATCTAGGTCAGGTGTCATCAATCATCACTAGAGTACCGATTTTGAGTAAAATCAGTTGAGTTTTGTACAGTGGTGTTTACAATGTTGGGAATCAATAGCAAAGCTTTTATTACACAGCCAGGATAGTAATGCACCTATAGATGCTAAATGTAAGCTAACGTTCTAGTTCTACGTGCAATAGTTCTCACTCACCTTGGTTTGGATCCCTGCAGTAATAGGCTATGTATGGGACTGTAGTACGAAAGGAGTAACAAAAGAAATGCCCTTTATGTCCTACTTTATTCCACTGGAAAATTCCTGCAACTTGTTATCGACAATTAAAACTTAATCCCTAAATTAAACAATGATAAAACCTAAATACTAAGTACAGATATCCGAGGATTGCAGTCAACTTACGGTTTCAGTATGTGTAATGCGTCTTTCCGGTCCGTTGTCCGTTGTTTACAAATACTTTGAGACTGGTATCCCTTTTAAGTGTTTGAAATGAGCACTGACAAACTGTACACAATACAACAATGGGTTATATATCTTAAATATTTAGGTCTTTCTAGAAGTATAAAGAAATTTCCAGTCACTCATAAATATTACGTAACAACTGTTTTAGAGTGACGTTGGAGTTGGACTGCCTTTACTTCTACTTCTACTTCCAGGCGCGGATCCAGGGGGGGGGGGGGGGGCCGAGCGGGCCTTGCCCCCCCCCCCCCGCAAAAAAAAAAAAAAAAAAAAAAGAGAGAGAAGAAAGGAAAAGAAGGGAAAGAGAAAGAGGAGAGAAAGGGAAAGAAAGAAGAAGAAGAAGAAGAATAAAAGAAAAGGGGGAAGAAGGAGATCGGGGGACCGAAAGGGCCTTTCCTCCCAGGCTGTTGACCCCCCCCCCCCTCCAATCAAAAAAATAAGAGAGAAGGAAGGAAAGGGAAAGAAAAAAGGAAAAGAGGAGATACTGGCGTACTAATGGGGGGGGGGGGGGGGGGGGGGGGGGGCTTTGGGGAAATCAAATTCAAACGTGGTTTATTTATAATTCCACAACGGTGGATTAATAATATAAATTGATAAATAATGCTGAAATGACATAATTTCCGAGATTTGTCCTCACTTTTTAGTAAATTATACGTTTGTATATGTGTTTGTTGGAAAATGACAAATTCCTAAATTTACAGCCAGGCACGAAATATGATTCTTGAGATTCCTACATGTCAGGGCCCGAGGTACGGCAGGGATCGGGAGCCTCGAGCTCCCTCCCCCCCCCACTTTATTTGAAAAAGTATATTAAAGAGAAAAAAATAGAATGAGCGCAAGAAAGAACGAATAGTTAACTGCCAGTGTTAAAAAATGAGTCATCAAAATATGCTCATCTGACCGTGATTAAATGCCTAAAACCGTTAAGCTTCCGGGGCTCTGCCCCCTGGATTCCACCTAGGGCGCTACGGCAGGCCCTTAGATGCTCATCTGACGGTAATTTAATGCCTAAAACCCCGCTTTTGGGGGGATCCGCCCCCTGGACCCCACGCCAAATAGTGACCTGCCAGTGTCACAAAATAATAGGTATTAAAAAAAAAATGATCATCTGACCTTAATTAAACGCCTAAAACCCCTGAGCTTCCGGAGCCGGACAAGTTATCAAAATGTGTTTATCTGACCGCAGGCGCGTAGCCAGCCAGGGGGGGGGGGGGGGGGGGGGGGGTCCCCCAAATCGGAAGAGGACGTAGAAAGTAAAAGGAGCAGACAAAGAAAATCTTTGAAATTCAGACAAGGATTAAGAGTATAGAGAACGGTACAACGTATCGTCTTCTTTCTCTAATAATTTAATAAAACGTCAAAGCTTCGCGCAGGAGGGGAGGGGGGGGGGGCTGAATTCAGACAAGGATTAAGAATCGAGAACGGTACAGTGAATCGTCTTCTTTCTCTTATAATCTTATGAAACGTCAAAGCTTTTGCGCGGGAGGGGGGAACCTGAATTCAGACGAGGATTCAGAGGCGAGAACGGTAATAATAATCTTTAATGAAACGTAAAAGCTTCAGCGTTTTGCGCGAGGTTAAGGGGGGACTTAATTCCGACGAGGATTATTTTCGAGAACGGTACAACGAATCTTCTTTTTTCTCTATTGATTTAATGAAAATTAAAAGCTTCCGCGCGGGGGGGAACCTGAATTCAGACGAGGATTAAGATTCGAGAACTGTACAGCCAATCGTCTTCTTTCTCTCATAATCTTATGAAACTTAAAAGCTTCCGCGCTTCGCGCGGGAGGGGGGGGGGGGGACCTGAATTCAGACGAGGATTAAGAGTCGAGAACCCTACAACGAATCGTATTCTTTCTTTAATAGTTAAATGAAATGTCAAAGCTTCCGCGCTTCGCGCGGGAGGGGAAAAACTAAATTCAGATGAAGATTTTGAGTCGAGAACAGTACAACGAATCGTCTTCTTTCTCTCGTAATCTTATGAAACTTAAAAGCTTCCGCGCTTCGCGCGGGAGGAGGGGGGGGGGAACCTGAATTCAGACGAGGATTAAGAGTCGAGAACGGTACAACGAATCGTCTTCTTTCTCTAATGATTTAATGAAACGTAAAAGCTTCCGCGCTTCGCGCGGGAGGGGGGGGGGGGAACCTGAATTCAGACGAGGATTAAGAGTCGAGAACTCTACAACGAATCGTCTTCTTTCTCTCATAATCTTATAAAACTTAAAAGCTTGGGGGGGGGGGGACCTGAATTCAGATGAGGATTAAGAGTCGAGAACTCTACAACGAATCGTATTATTTCTTTAATAGTTTTAATGAAACTTCAAAGCTTCCGCGCCTCGCGCAGGAGGGGGGGGGGGGGGGGGGGACTGAATTTAGACGAGGATTAAGAGTCGAGAACGGTACAACGAGTCGTCTTCTTTCTCTAATGATTTAATGAAACGTAAAAGCTTCCGCGCTTCGCTCGTGAGGGGGAACCTGAATTCAGACGAGGATTAAGAGTCGAGAACTCTACAACGAATCGTCTTCTTTCTCTAATAATTTAATAAAACGTAAAATTTTCCGCGCTTTGCGCGGGATGGGGAAAAACTAAATTCAGACGCGGATTAAGAGTCGAGAACGGTACAACGAATCGTCTTCTTTCTTTAATGGTTTAATGAAGCGTCAAAGCTTCCGCGCTTCGCGCAGGACGGGGGGGGGGGGCTGAATTACGATAAGGATTAAGAGTCGAGAACTCTACAACGAATCGTCTTCTTTCTCTAATAATTTAATAAATCGTAAAATTTTTCGAGCTTCGCGCGGGAGCGGAAAAACTAAATTCAGACGAAGATTTTGAGTCGAGACCGGTACAACGAATCGTCTTCTTTCTCTAATAATTTAATGAAACGTCAAAGCTTCCGCGTTTCGTGGAGGAGGGTGGGTAAAAACTCGCCCCTCTCTGCACCGACCCCCCCCCCTCCGCATTACGTCACTGTTGGTCATCGTTACGTACCAATATTTGGCTCGCATAATTTCAAATTTGGGCCCCCCCCCCTAAGAAATCCTGGATCCGCGCCTGTCTACTTCTATGGTGATACTCATCAACGCCTGTTCAGCATCTAGATGAGGATAAAGCATAGAGTTGTATAATTATACAGCTCTATGCGGTACAGTTCCTGAAAAGGGAACTAAAATGTTTCAAGAGCCACCTTGAACTGCTCCAAAGAGGGCAGTTCAACGATGATTTGAGGTAGCTCGTCCTAGCCTTTACTTACTGACTTAAGTCGATTTGACAATTAATAGTCGTTATTTTCTCTCTTAAAGACATTTTCAAGCCCTCTTTTGTATAGAGAAGTTCTAAATTAGTATTATCTTTCAAATGCCGTTGGAATTTAACCTTTTCATTTTTTGGCCTGCAAATGGGACATAAGAAAGAGGCTAAATTCTCCTAAATTAACAAAAATGTTCCCAATAATAAAACAATATCTAAATACCCCTGAAAGCGCTTGGCATAAATAATATTTCGTCAGCAATAAATGAATAACCACAATTCCCACATGCACATAAGTAGGCCTAAAATTAGATGGTCATATTATTTTTGTATTTTCTTTATTTTATAAATAATTGTTCCTCCCTCCCTCTCTCTCATCCTTATTCCTTATGATTATGAACATTGTACTTTGAATATTCAAGTATTCTGTGTGGTATAGAGACTTAGAGAAATAGGCCTACTTTGATTTCTATTTGATTTGATGACTTGTTTTAATCACTTTTACCTAGTTTTTCATGATTGGATGTGTTAGACGGGAGAATGCAGGTTGTAACACAATTTTTCAATCGCCATGACCAAGATAGAGGATTCTCGAAAAATCGGTCTGTGTTCAAATTGAAAGATACTTCAAAGAAAATGATATAATTTATGAATTTCAATCTGGTTTTCGACATGATTATTCGACTGAAACATGTCTAATTCAATTGACTGATTATTTGAGGACAGAAACTTCCCAAGGGCGCTTTGAGCCGTGCTTAATTAATGCAAAGTCATTGTAAATATGCGTACTCCACATATTAAAATGATTTCCTCAAGGCGATAGCAAGTTTTTAGGTCGACAACTTCCGATTTTCAAAGATTTAGATTTTTAGTTTTCAGATGGCTGATACTCCTTTGACAGACACTAAAATGGCATATAATTTATATCATTGTAATCATATCATTATAATTCATCCATTTCATCTTTCAGTTCGGATATGGTCTTTAAAGTGGAAATTCAAAGAAAATCAAAAATCTGTCAACTAATGTATCACTAGAAACTGGTAAGCTAACAGATGGCCATCGTACAAGTTATAGGTCAACTACATATCGGGTGATATATAAAAATACAAATACAACCACTCCATAGCATCTGGGATATACGAGAGATTCGCCAGAAAAATAACGATGTTTTAATGACGTCACATAACGGACCAATACTGCCCAAGCTGACGACATAATGAAGCTATTGTTTCTCAAATTGTAATGAGTTTAGTGTATATAAATGTGATGGCATTTCAAACCATTCAAAAGGGGATATGAAACCGATTCTGATAACTAAAATCTTTTGTTTGTAAATATACAGGATAGGGTTTAATTCACAATCTAAGAAACCAGACTTTTAAATTGAACCCCCCCCCCCCCGGCATGATATTAAGGACGGCATTATTTTGTTCCCTCTTGAAACGCCGAAGATACCGCGGTGTGTGCAGCTGAATATCCCATGGCGTCTTATTTTGTTTACAAGCGACATATTCCTTTATTTTAGTATCGCTGCATTTGTCATCAAAATAACACCATGCGCGGGGTTTAGAGTGAGGCAATAGATTATACATTTAGCCTGACGTTAGTGAAATAAGAGAAGGAACTCAAGAGAAGATGAAAAAAACAGGCACTGAAAATGTGTGAGATGTCATGGGACATCGTCTGCTTGTGTAAATCATGTCAATCCTGTGATCTCACACATCTCAGCAGCGTTCGGAGAGCTCTTCAGGTGCTATGTCGGGGCTGTATTTAAGCGTTTTGTAATTTATAATAATCATTACTACGAATGTTTCCAAGCATTGAATTTTGATAACCTTGTCGAATCAAAGTTTTAACTTCGCAATTATTAAAATAAAGTTTGTTTTTAAAATCAATGAATATCTACTTTAAGCTAAAATCATGGAGTTAGACTAGTAACCCCATGGTATGGGCGATCATTACATGAATTACCGATATGGAAAATCGTCCCGTTTACTCACTCATGCTCATAATCTTGTAACTTTCAGGAGGTATGACTATGAGGATGTTGATTGGGATGCTTTTCGAAATGATTTTTTAAATGTAAATTGGAGTGACGTTGACAATTTTGTTGATATTGAAGGTTCCGTTAAGAATTGGGAAGCTATGCTATTATCTGTGACAAACAAGCACATGCCTTTGAAAACTAAACGAATGAGGAAGCAATGCTCTCCTCAGTAGAGTCAATTTTTAATATGATGAAAGACAGAGACAAAGTTAAAAAGAAGGCTATTGTTAAGCAAAGTAATGAGCTATGGATTGAGTATAGACGTTTAAGAAATAGGGTTACAAATGCTATCAAAAAACAAAAATGCAACACTATATGAATAAATTATTGCAATGTACAAATCGGAACGATATAATTTATGGAAGGTTCTGAAATCATTTTCACCGAAAATAGCGCCTCTCCAAGTCATTAATGTATGAATCTGCATCTCGATTCAACGATCATTTTGCTAATGCTGTAACAGAGTTGATGAAAAGACATGACATAAATAATTTTTGGGGAAATGAATTTATTCAACTATCAGTGACAGTGATTCACCTTGTCTCAACAAGTTGAAATTATCTGTGTTTTCTGAAGCTGATATAATGAGAGAGATTAATAACTTTCAAAGTAGGAAATTTATGCGGAGTTGACGATATACGGTAACCATTCAGGTACTCAAGTCTTGTGTGGATATTTTGATTAAACCAATAACATATCTGATTAATAAATCTATAACTGATGGTAAAATCCCAACAGTACGACAATACACCTGACGGTGGCCTGTACTGCTACCCAGCCCCCACTCAGTGTCATTTAGGGTACCATAATTATGCGTGTTCCAAGCGACCCCCCTTTTCAGCAAAAGTCCGGTGTGTAAAGTCAATACGGGTCGACCTTTTTTTTTGTTATACGAGCCTTTTTCAGCACCCCCCCCCCTTTTCAGCAAAAGTCCGGTGTGTAAAGTCAATACGGGTCGACCTTTTCCTTTTGTTACGAAAGGGACATTTTGGTAACACGCATGGGGTCCGTCCGTTCTCGGAGTGGGGGGGGGGGGGGGGTACTGCTACTGAAGAAGATGAGATTGAAAATGGTTCAAGTAATTTCGCTTCACATAGGAACAAGCGCGTAGCTAGGATTTTATTTTAGGGGGGGGGGGGGGCGAGTGAGCACGCTCCCTAGGGGGGTGGGTGTAGGGAGGGGGAGTTGCTTTGAAAGAAGACGATTCGTTGTACCTTTCTCGACTCTTAATCCTTGTCTGAATTCAGTTTCCTCCCCACCGCACGAAGCGCGGAAACTTTGAAGTTTCATCAAATTATTAGAGAAAGACGACGACTCGTTGTATCGTTCTCGACTCTTAATTCTTGTCTTAATTCAGTGCCCCCTTCCTGCGCATAGCGCGTAAGCTTTGACGTATTATCAAACAAAGAAGACGATTCGTTGTACCTTTCTCGACTCTTAATCCTTAACTGTATTCAGTCCCCCTCCCCTCCCGTGCGAAGCGCGGAAACTTTGAAGTTTCATTAAGTTATCAGAGAAAGAAGATGACTTGTTGTACCGTTCTCGACTCCTTTTCCCTTTTTCTTTCTACGTCCTCTTACTTTATTTCTTTTTTTCTCTTTTTTTTTTTTTTGGCCGGCGTTTTTTTTTTTTTTTTTTTTTTGAGGGGGGGGGGGGCGACCGCACCCACTGCCCCGGCTACGCGCCTGCATAGGAAAGGTGATTAATCAAATCCAGACAATTATAGGCCTATATCCTTGCTCCCTTACATTTTTAAAGTAATAGATCGTATAGTCCAAATTCAATTAGTTAGCCATCTTCATGCAAACAATATACTGGATTCTGTTCAGTCTGGTTTTAGTGCTCACCATTCAACTGTCACTGCTTTAGTTAAAGTTACAGATGATTGGTTAATGACAATGGACGGAGGCAGGTACCCGGGGGTAGTCTTCGTAGACCTACAGAAGGCGTTTGATACGGTTGATTATCAGGTGCTCTTAAATGAACTGTATTCTACTTGTTTAGATGAAATATCGTTACAATGGTTAGAGCGCTATCTATCTGAGAGCAAAATAGTAACTATGATTAATAATGTTATGTCAAATGAAAGAGTTTTAGCTCATCATGCTGATGGTGTGCCCAAAGGCTCGATATTGGGTCCACTTTTATTTACGATATTTATAAATGATCTGTCAATCTCTGTCACGTACATTTATAAGCACATAACACCGTAATTTATTTTTCACATAAATGTCCCACTGTTGCTGAATCTGTCTTGAATGATGAAACGCAATATCTCGATAAATGGATGTCTCGCAATAAGTTATTACTTATTATACCACAACTGTTACCGTGCTCATTGGCACCCGTCATATATTATCAAAGTGTAATGTACTTATTTTGTTAATAATATGAAAATAACAGATACAAATATTGTAAAGGTTGAGAGTACAAAATACCTCGGTATCAATATAGACAATGAATTGAAATGGGATGCTCATATAAATATAATGTGTCAGAAAATAAGTAAAATTATTGGCTTCCTTGGTAGATTGAGAGTTTGAGACACTTTATGGAGCCATGGTTTGGCAGTCCGCAACTAAATCCTCCCTTTCTCTTTTTACAAAAGCTTCAAAACAGGGCGGGCCGTGTGATAATGAAATTAAATCCTTATTCTCATACATCCAATCAACATGTTCACGATTCTCTAAATTGGGACCTTCTAGACCGCCGTTACAAAAAACCATTTATGTACCATGATTTTTAAGATATTAAACAATTACACCCGTCTTATGTGTCAAATAATGTCAAATATCGCACGTATAACTATTCATTTCGTTCGTACCAAAATCTAGATCTCCCTAGACCGAATTCAAATAATTGCAAAAGAACATTCTTCTATAGGGGTGACACAAAATAACCAACTACCAGAATACATCCGAAATATAACTACATTAAGATCCTTCCACACCATTTTTTTAAAACACATTTCCTTAAACTCAAATTATTTTTTGCATATCCTTGTGTGTGTGTGTGTGTGTGTGTGTGTGTGTGTGCGTGGGCGGTGGGGCGTGGATAAACTTTGGACAATTAAGACACAGGTCAATCTAATTATGTAGCTACAAAATATAAAGCTGGAGTTCACAATCAAGAAGTTATAAAGCATACATTTTCACTTCACCCCCTCCTCTCTCCCCCTCTCTCTCTCTCTCTTTCTCGTACATAAATATGTAGACACACACGCACACACACCCACGCGCACACGCGCACACCTACACACGTACACACAACGCACTCAATCACTCTTTAATCTCTACCATCATATTTCTCTTCTTGCTGTATTTTTGCATCACCATGAACCCCTTGTTTGCTTGTATTTAATTTAAGGGGATAACCGAGATAGGTATTTATACCCTTGTTATCCCTCCACTTCATTGGTTGCACATGTATCGTTTTGTACACTTTTATTTCAGGTTGAGTGGAAATAAATTCAATTCAAAATTCAATTCAGTCCAATAATATTGTCAGGGGTCACACTAATATTAAAGCATCAAGCTTCGCTTATCTTGGAGTCTTGGCAATATATATATCTTTCAATTATATTGAGTTTTACCATGTAATCAGAACTGAATAAATAAATGAAATTAAATATTAAAATTCAAATAAATTCCATGACCTACAAATTAAAGTTGTCTCATTTTAATGAAGCTTATCATGAACAATATAAAGCTAGGCTACGACCAACATAGATTATTTTATTAAGAACAAATCAATAGACTAAGGACATATTATAGAAGTGTAATAATGGATTGCTTTTAAGAAATTCTAGCTCAGAAAAAAGTTTGAAACCCCATCCGGGTCTTGCCGTATGTGAAGCCGGATATATTCTCAAAGCTTAAGCTTCGGCATTGATCATTTTGTCAGGCCAAGTCGGAGGAAAGATCGTATGCAGGTTGTTTGTAGATGGATGACTGGCGCTGCGGTAATGGGAGAACTTAAACAAAAATAAAAACCAATATTTTGTCGAGGTCATAAGTGTATCCATCATTATTTTGATAATCTATGATCTAAATGAATCTTCTTTTACATCGACCTATATACTACACCTACCTTAAACTCGGTCATTAAACAAAAAACATAGAACAAAACAAAACAAAGATCGCGCCCTTATATATCTCTAATTACATTTCTCATTGAATAAAAAGTCTCTCAAATCAAAATAAAGTTATCAGTTATCAAAACATCTGGCCAACCTCATCGGTCCTATCAATCATTACACGCGAATAAGAATGATCAAAGACGCAAAGATGATGAAAGTGGCGAGGAATAATTCCATAAAAGGGAAGCCATAATCGGTTCGAGTCATCAATTCAGGAGCTCATCTCACCCGCAACAAGCTGCCTTCAGAACCTTCTCACCAGATTGGTAAGCATCTATTTTCTACTTTGCAGACTTCTAATTACAGAACTTTTCTTCCAAACCGATTTTTCGATAATATGTATTTTGGCCCATTTCTAAATCTTGTTTCGTTCAAATGGCATATGACTTTTTAATTTTTTTTTTTATTGTTCATCAATATGATGCATAATAATATTCTACAATCTGCCTTATAGGTTTATTTACTTTTAATCTATATCTTTGATGTTTAATGTTTAGGCTTGATTCGTTATGTTTCCCATTGTATATTATAATGATGATATTATTAGTCTTCGGACTACAATCGTGTTTCGGTATATGAAGATATCAATCATGTAGAGGTGATGTGGTCCTGTGGATGAGTCAATCAAATCCGGATTACGGTTAAAAAAAGACAAGTCTATTGAAATAGTTTTTCAGTTTGATTTTGCGAAGGTATTTGCAATCTTATAAACTGTTAGCATCACCCATTCAATTTATCTCTATAGTCAGCAGCACGAGTATAGGATTTTTTTTATGGCAACCTGGGCAAATGATAAATTTTTGCCGCTCCTATCCAAAAATTATGAGCTCAAAATACTCACAATTGGAAGATCAATTCTCGTTCATATCCTTCAGAAATTATAGCGATGTATTGAATTTTTTTAAAACGCATTTAATCCAGGAATCGGTATTAAACCCAAAGCTGGTAAAGTCTAGGAGTTATCTAAGCGAGGGAGGGAAAGCGACCTTGTGGTGAAATTGGTTGATTGATTTTACTCGTTAAATATTAGGCCTAAGTAAATTTGCATTAGATGAAAAAGACAAATTAGAAAGGAAATACCTTCATGCGATATAGAATTACACTGATTGGTGGACAACGTTTTAAAGTTTGATAATTATGTCAGTCTGAAAAAATCTGTAAATTGGCACATTCTGTTGAAGTAGTTCCAATACTAAAGAAATCTAACGGGATAGGCTTCTTTTATTATAAATGAAAATTCATGCAAAATTTGCATTTTCACCATTCAAAGGAGATTTCTTAAGTGTACTGTTATACATGTTTTGGGGAAAAATTCCAACCGACGGTGTTCCAGAGTTTGAAAATAGAAAAATGCTATTCTATTCAATTCGTCGTATATATATTCTAGCACTAGCAGTATAATAAGGACAAGCATTTTCGAGAAATACGGAACCAGCAAACTCCCAATTCTCGTTTCCGTTGTTCTTCTTCCTTTTTTAACAAACAGAAGCTAAACTAGTCAAGATGATGATCAAAGTAGCTCTTGTGCTCTGTGCTATTGTGGCAACCAGTATGGTGTGCGCAAAGAATTTTGAAGAGGAAGATGCATTGGACACTTGTAAGTATATAAGTCAGCCAGGGACGCCAATGCTTGAAAAGTTGTGATCGCCCTCTCAAGAAAACTGTCATAAAATCCCTATAGCTATTGTCAGAAAAACTGTGAAACTAAAACATTTCGTTTACACATAATATTGTCGTACGATTCTCTTTTAGTCGGGGGGGGGGGGGGGGCAGTAAGAATATAATTGGTACTAATGACCACAGGTTTTCCATCCCCTCCCCGAAACAAGTTTTATCCACTCTTCAAAACTTACCCTTTCGAATTTTTTTTCTCGAAAATTTCCCCACTATACAAGGTTGACCCCTTTAAAACATGTTCTCTTTAAGGTATTATGTCCAATTTGCAGGCCAAAACATGAAAAGGTTAATGTTTCCAACGGCATTTGAAAGATAATATTAATTTAGAACTTCCCTCAAAACGAAAGGGGCTTGAACATTTCTTTTAGTGGGAAAATAACGAGCATTAGTTGTCGAATCGACTTTAGTGATTGCAATCATTTTAGTAATAGTCTGATTTTCAGACCCTTCTACCGTATGGACGTACGTTTTGTGCTGCGCAAAGATTCAATCAGTTTAATTGTGGCCATTAAAAGAAGTGGGTTATTGATGTAAACAAATTCTCATGTACCTTTACAGCTCATTTTATGTATGTTATTACCAAAGAAAAAAAGAGAAGTCAATCAGTCACTCAATAGTGTCCGACAGTAAAATCTAGAAATTAAACGGGTTCCCTTGCATAATTTGAATAATATGACACTGCTAACGTTTACATCTCACAGATAAGACATACGCAGTGGCGGATCCAGGGGGGGGGGGGGGGGGGCCCGGGGGGCCCGGGCCCCCCCATTGAGAAAAAAATCATGTAAAATCACGTGATTTTTACGATTTTTGGGGTTGGGCCCCCCCCCCCTGGCGCTCAAGGGGGGGGGGGGGGTGCAAATTGAAATTTTTTGAGGATCAAAAAAAAAAAAAAATGTGCTCACCCCCCCCCCCCCCCCCCCCCCCCCCCACTGAGCGAATTTTTGGCCGGCGCGTTTTTCAAATTTTCGGGAGCAAAAAAAAAAAAAAAGTTGGGCCCCCTCCCCTAAGAAATCCTGGATCCGCGCCTGGACATACGTGACATATTCATAGTTCCTGCAAAGTTCTTCATAATTTGATGTTGATTGCAAATGGGACATAGGCCTAGTACCTTTAAGAAGATATTATTAATCCTTCAAAATTGCTTTAAATAACTAGTATTCATATTGACAGCACAATGTCTAGGCAAGGGTACTCTAAATGCGTTTCAATAAACACAACAGACTTTCCTCCCCCCCCTCATTTTTGCCTATTTGACTCCCTTAATGCGTCACTCGCCTTAACCAGCCGAAACTTTTTTGGTCGCGAATGTGTCTACAGCAATATATATTTGCTTTATTTTCATTACATCTCGTTTCTATGGCAACCATGCAGTGCTGAATCTGATGCTCTCAGAGGAGGTTGCATCTCCTGATGCTGTAGCCTTGCAAGGCTGGTTCAAGCACGCGTTTCATCACGTCACTCATGCAGTTAGCCACGCGGCTCATGACGTCAGTCATGCAGTTAAGGCAGGCATCCACGCTGGACAGCGAGTGTGCTCGGGGCTTGGTCTTTCTCCAGAAGAAGCTCGTAAGTAGCCACAGAAATATACTTATGAAAAGAGAATAATAACACTTACAATAATGGCAATGATGATGGTAATTAATAATAATATTTCGTAAATAATAATCAATATTAGCATTATCATCATCATCATTGATCATCAATAATGATGATACTATCATTTTTTCATCATCATTATTATTACTGGAAATAATTCAAACGTTTGGACCAAGTTTAATGTATAATCAAACATATCCAATATTTTAAAGCACAGGGCCCGGTCTTATAAAGAGTTGATATCAATCGCAACTATGTACATAAGAGATAGGAGACTGCAAACTTGCGATTGATTGGAGGACTTGCGATTGATTTGAATCTATCGCAAGATTGCAACTCTTTGTAAGATGGGGCCCTAAATTCATTAGACGGAAACAAGGAAATTTGTTGTTAAAGATAACTGTCACATTGTATGTCATCATCATCATCAACTTCAGGTGGCGCTGTAAAGCGCTGCTGTGGTCTTCACGAGAGCACGCCATGCAACTCTTCACCTGCCATTAATGTGTTGCACCTTTCATTCCTTGTCCAGACCAGTCCAAGATATTGGTGGGCGACCTCTACCCCGTTTTCCTTCGACTGCTCCTTGCATTATTTGCTTCTCAACACATTCAGATCTCCTAACAATGTGCCCAAAATAGTTAAGTTTTTTTTCCGTGAGGACCCTTTTTTTTGTCCCAAAAAATCGCAACGACTAAGCCAGCCGCTGAATTTGCGGGGGGGGGGGGGGGGGGGGGGGGGGAAGGGGACACTTTTTTTTTGGGGGGGGGGTCTCGAAATTTGAAAATTTGACATTTTGTTCGGGGGGGGGGGTAAGGTCACCTATTTTTAGGTCAGCCATTGGCATAATTTTTTTCATTAAAAAAAAAATCACAGAGGGGGGGGGGGGGGGGGTGGCTCCAAAATACACACATACAAAAACATGAAGGGGGGGGGGGGTTGACCCCCAAACCCATCCCTCCCCCTGTGTACGCGCCTGCCCTGGGGAGTACACATATCCCTGACACTGACAGGCACACTTTTATAAGCGCGTATGAGCTAATCCAGGGGTCAGACTTAAATTATGGACATCCACGTGTCCTGGAGTCTGTTAGTGTCGAGCCCTTCCTAAGCCAGCCAAATTAAAACTCGCATTCTTAGAAGTAATTGATGTTTATTTCATTCATCATAAAAGTTTTATAAAAAACATATCAAATACAAAACAGTGTAGGACTACGAGTTTATACAACAATTAAAATAGAATACAACAACAACAAAAATGTCATATGAATGTGGAGACAGCTGGGAAAGCCCAAGGGGTTTATTGGTGCAGCCATCGTACAACATCGTACCACGTACCCATTTCAATCATGGATGGGGAGAAACAATGAAAATAAAATGCATTGCTTAGGGACATAAAGTAAGTGCCTTGTCGGCTATTGAACTCACAACCTTAGATTCTCCAGCGAGGGTTTTAAGGCCCCCCTAAAAAGAACGATAAGGCCCTTTTATTTCTTCTTAAAATAGCCGCCCGGCACATTTTCCAAGACATCCAGTCGGGCTTTTTTTCTGATGGCCGCTAACTTTTATGTTTATTTTTTCCCCGAAAAAACATACTTTTAGCAGTATGTTTTTTCGTTTTTTTTCTTTAAAAAAACAAACAAAACAAAATAAAACAGGCGGCCTCAACAACGAAAAAGGGAGTGGGCGGCGAGGGGACGCTAAACATGATTTTTTTTTGTGTGAATATTTTTCCTAGCCAGTCCCCTCTCCTCGTTTCATCATAATATTTTCAAATTTATGTACATCTTAGGCGTTAAAATTCTGACTGCGATCCCAGAGATGAAAGAAGAGGATCTCACCGAAGAGGGTGTTCGAGCAATCTGCGCTGGTGCACATGCCCTTGGCCGTTAGACTCGGTACGTATTTTTTAAAAACAATATTAACATGAAACAATATTATTATACTGGTGAGCCCTGATATTTTTTTTGCCCTCGAAAACGGCACCCTGCCCCCCTTGAGCACCAGGGGAGGGGACCCGTCTCCAAAAAACGATAAAATTTACGTGTTTTTACCTTCTTTTTTCCCCTAGGGGAGGGGACCCGGGCCCTCCTGGTTAGGCATTGGGGGAGGGGGGGGGGGGGTGTGGTGGCAAGCCTGGGCAAATCAAAACTATAAACAATCCACCACTTATAAACCTTTTACATGTATTTTGCTTTAACAATTTAAATACATGTCAAGTCTCAAGTAAGCAATGTTTGAGAATATAATAATGTATGCCTATACCTACGTTCTTACTCTGACATTAAAAAAGATACTTCTCTCAGTTTGGATGTTCCAGCAGTTTCAGTTTTAGAATTGTTGATGATTGCAATTGATCAATAGTGATAAATATGGAGTCATTAAAAGAATTATCTTCTAATAAGAAATACAATATACATGACATTGTATATGCTTCTTTCTTCCCACCGTGCCCCTCTCCCTTTTTCTCCTTCCCTCTCCCTTTTCCCATTCTTTCTCTGTCTCCCTCCCCCCCTCTGCCCCTCTCTCTCCCCTTTTTCTGTCTCCCTTTCTCCCACGCTCTCTCCCCCTTTATATATGTCTCTCGGCCTTTCTCTCCCCTCTCTCTCTCTCCCCTTTTCTCTGTCTCCCTTTCTCCTCCTTTCTCCCGTCTTTCTCTGATTCCTTTTCTCCACAACTCCTCATTATGTTTTAAACAAAAGACATTGTCTTCTTTTATTTCTCACATAGGAAGGGATCGTGATACAACATTTGGAACGCTTGATGTCGATTCTTCCTCGAGAAACAATGAAATAAAAGCAAGAAATTTTTAACTCCATCATGTTTTTGCAAATTCCTTATAATTAGAATCTTCTTTATCACTCCTGAATTGTTAAAATCCTTAAACCTTGTTTTCCCTATGAGTGTTTTTCATTATTAATACATATTTTGCCTTTACTTCCATGTATCCATTCATTATACATATTTCCAAGGTGTTTACAAATATTATGTAGGCTTAAAAGTACACCAACCTTAAAATCTAGCATAATACTACATCTTTTCATCAAAAGCTTCAATTAAAAATGTTCTCTCTGTTTTGCTCTTTTTTTTCCTAAAGAAAAGTACCAAAAACAAAACATTGTAAGCATGGTATACGGGGAATAACTATTAGTATTGGTAATAATGCTGATAATAAAATCACATGAACTTGCAAACCATAGCCTGCTTTGGACATTTTGTGATATGATATAAAGCTAGTAGTGTATGATTGATAAAATATTGTTGGCATGCGGGGAAAATACGAAAACAACAACACAGTGATGAGAAAAAATATGAGAGGCAAAAATAAAACAAAGTGAAAAGGTTGAATAGAAGAATAAAGAGAGAAAGAGAAGAAGGGGAGCACGGGAGAGCAGAGAGAGGAGCGTGAAAGAAAGAGAAAATGAGAGAGAGAGAGAGAGAGAGAGGGGGAGGGAGGCAAGGAAAGAGGACAAAAAAAGAGAAAGATGAGGGATAACAGAAGAGACAACTAAAGGCAGAAACGGAAAGAATGAAAGAGAGAGAGAGAGAGAGAGAGATGGGGTGACCAAGGTGATGCAAGAGATGAGGATCATTTGAGATGGAGAGAAGAGAGAGGAGAGCAGAGAGGTGGATTTATCTTACCTGTAAACCTATGGATAGGACGGTCTTTGTATAATTATGCTAAAGGCACTGACAGTGCCTTTAAGGGCCACTCTAACCAAAACGGGCTAAAATGAAGAAAAAAACATGTATAATAATTTTGACGGAGATTCCTAACATGACAATGATTTCTCTTAGAAATCATGAATAATTCTGGAATCAAGCTTTAAAAAAGACGACTCAGAACGCTCAGAAAAAAAGCCCAGTTTCGGAGCTGTATTGCGCAACTGTTTATGACGTCACTGCAGGCGCCTCTCCGGTGAAAAGGAGGGTGGTTTAGGCATCAACATGTCTTTAAAAAGGCAAACTATGATATTAATTGTAACAAAAAAGACATTTATCCAAAAAAATTATATGCACTTGATAATCCCAGTACGTTTCTGGCAATTTCGTCATGTTTAATGTAAGATCCTTAGTTGTAGGTCGAATCGGACATGCCCGCAATGACGTCAAATGCGTCATCATGGCCACGTGACCGTATTACCTCTTTTCGAGGGGCGTAGCCCAGCAAGCCCTTTAAACGGACGTCACAGTGCCTTTAAAGGACGCCACACAATATTGTATGTGTGTAAAGTAGATGATATTTTATCACATAACTTTGTCTTCGATTTGTCAAATCAGAAACAAAAATCAGAAATTTAATGATTTTCTCTCTCTTTCACAGACCACAGACAAGCACTAAATACTAAAGTGCAAAAAGTTAGTGCTTGCCTGTGGTAAATTACTACACTGTCGCTCATATACTTGAAATATTTTAGTTTTACCCCAATTTATAGAATTATTTTAAAAATAAATTAAAAATAATAGATCTAGATAATAGCATACATTCTCAGATTTTATTGAATAATAATTTGCCAATGTGTGTTTTGCGTGACTGCTAAAGCATGTGTATGCTTCTATGCTTATCAACTAGGGGACCTACGCCCTTAAGTCATAAATGACAGTAATGAGGATTAATGCCCCACAAAAGGGCACTAATATAGCACATCGACACGGTTTTGATCCTGGGGCCTCACAGTTACGAGGCCATTGCTTTGTCACTGAACCATCAGCGTGTCCACACACAAAACAATTTATCCCGAAACTTTATAACGAAACGTCGTATAAAGAATCATCGTACAAATTTCAGAGTGTCCACACACACAAAAAAGGTCGTATAAATAATCATCGTATATATTCCAGGATGTCCACACACAGAAGAAAGTAATCCTGAAACTCTACAGCGAAATGTCGTATAGGTGCGCAGTATACTACTGCGGTCATGAAATGGAAGCGGAAATGAGAGGTCTGGTCTCCTTTCGCTCGAGGTCACGTTAAGCCTCACCCAGTTAGTTACACTAGTTACACTAGTTACGTCCACACACAACACCTTCCGTGATTAGGCGTGATTAGGCGTGATTCTTTATTGAGTTTCAGTTCGAAACGATGCCCAAACCTGCGTTTCGTTAGACTAGTTTCGTTATACGACGTATCGTTAGTGAGCGTCCACACACACAATTTCATCGTAAAACTATCGCGAAACGGTATAGCTAATCACGCCTAATCACGGAAAATGTTGTGTGTGGACAGGGGCATGACTGTACGCAGCGGGGGCTAGAGTAGGGGACAGTTTCCATAAATTAAAAAAAAAACAGAAAATGCAATAAATTTGCATTTTACCCCGGTCCCCAACATAAACAAATCCTCTTGGCGGCCATGTATTATGGCTCAAGGCATAATTTATTTATAATAAAAGAAGGCTATCCCGTTAGATTTCTTTTGAATTGGAACTACTTCAACAGAATGTGCCAATTTACAGATTGTTCAGACTGACATAAGTATCAAACTTTAAAAAGTTGTCAACAAATCAGTGTAATTCTATTCATATTCAAACACGATTTTCTGAAGATTCGCTTTCACACGTTATCGCATGAAGGCATATTTCCTTTCTATTTTGTCTTTTTCATCTAATGCAAATTTACTTAGGCCTAGTATTTAACGAATAAAACCAATCAATCATTTCACCACAAGGTCGCTTTTCCTTCCTCGCTTAGATAACTCCTAGACTTTACAAGCTTTGGGTTTAATACCGATTCCTGGATTAAATGCGTTTAAAAAAATTCAATACATTGCTTTAATTTCTAAACGATATGAACGAGAAATGAACTTCCAATTGTGAGTATTTTTAGCTCATAATTTTTGGATAGGGGCGGCAAAAATTTATCATTTGCCCAGGTTGCCATAAAAAAAATCCTATACTCGCGCTGCTGACTTTAGAGATAAATTGAATGGGTGATGCTAACAGTATATAAGATTGCAAATACCATCGCAAAATCAAACTGAAAAACTATTTCAATAGACTTGTCGAACATTAAAATGTGCGAATATAACAACGATGCATTAGGTGCATTATATAAGATTGCAAATACCTTCGCAATATCGAACTAAAAAGCTATTTCAATAGACTTGTCCAACATTAAAATGTGCGAACACAACAACGATGCATTAGGTGACCGTAATCCGAATTTGATTGACTCATCCACAGGACCACATCACCTCTACATGATTGATATCTTCATATACCGAAACACGATTGTAGTCCGAAGACTAATAATATCATCATTATATAATATACAATAGGAAACATAACGAACCAAGTGTAAACATTATACATCAAAGATATAAATTAAAAGTAAATAAACCTATAAGGCAGATTGTAGAATATATTATGCATCGTATTGATGACAATAAATAATAAAAAAAAAAGTCATATGCCATTTGAACGAAACAAGATTTAGAAATGGGCCAAAATACATATTATCGAAAAATCGGTTTGGAAGAAAAGTTCTGTAATTAGTAGTCTGCAAAGTAGAAAATAGATGCTTACCAATCTGGTGAGAAGGTTATGAAGGCAGCTTGTTGCGGGTGAAATGAGCTCCTGAATTGATGACTGGAACCGATTGGCTCCCCTTTTATGGAATTATTCCTCGCCACTTTCCCCATCTTTGCGTCTTTGATCATTCTTGTTCGCGTGTAATGATTGATAGGACCGATGAGGTTGGCCAGATGTTTTGATAACTGATAACTTTGTTTTGATTTTAGAGACTTTTTATTCAAGGAGAAATATAAAAAGAGATATATGGGCGGATCTTCTTCTTCTTTTTTTAAATGACCGAGTTTAAGGAAGATGAACCCATTTAGCTCAATGTAAATGACTATTCATTTAGATCATAGATTATCAAAATAATGATGGATACACTTATGACCTCGACAAAATATTGGTTTTTATTTTTGTTTAAGTTCCCCCTTTACCGCGGCGCCAGCCATCAATCAGCAAACAACCCGCATACGATCTTTCCTCCGACTTGGCCTGACAAAATGATCAATGCCGAAGCTTGCGACTTTGAGAATATATCCGGCTTTACTAGACCTAGGTGGGGTTTCAAACTTTTCCGCGCTCCACTATTCCACTATTACAATTCTATTTTTCCTTAGTCTATTGATTCGTTCTTGATAAAATAATCTATGTTGGTCGTAGCCTAGCTTTATATTGTTCATGATAAGCTTCATTAAAATAAGACAACTTTAATTTGTAGGTCATGGAATTTATTTGAATTTTAATATTTAATTTCATTTATTTATTCAGTTCTAATATATGATAAAACTTAATATAATTGAAAGATATATAAAGAGATATAAACTTGTTCATACAGAATTTGCCAGGACTCCAAGATAAGCAAAGCTTGATGCCTTTAATGTGACCCCTGACAAATATTATTGAACTGAATTCAATTTTGAATTGAATTTATTTCTACCCAACATTAAATAAAAGTGTACAAAACGATACATGTACAACCAATTAAGTGGAGGAATAACAAAAGTATAAATACCTATCTAGGTTATCTCCTTAATTAAGATACAAGCAAACAAAATATGTAATATTCATTTGAATCGCTTCATGTAACAATTTCAGGAAACTCTCGCTCTATCAGTTTAGTTGTAGTATACCGACCTGAATCTGATGATCATGGGCGTCATCTACCCTTCAGTGTCTTCATGGAGGAGTTTGGTGAAATGTTGGACAGTTATCTTCTCCACCCATCAGAGATCTTACTCGTGGGTGACTATAATATATGGGTTGACGTCCAGGATGATTCAAAGGCCAGACAGTTTCTGAACCTACTATCGACATATGGGATGAAACAGCATGTCCGTGAACCGACCCACGACCACGGACATACACTTGACTTATTGATCACACGTGAACATGAAAATGTTATATCAAATGTAGTAGTGCAACCTGGTCTTTCAGATCATTTTGCTATACTGTGTAACATTACATTGGAAAAACCTATACCTATTCGACAAAGTTTCTCAACCCGGAATTTAAAGTCTTTGGATAGGCAAAGGTTCTGTAAAGGTCTCCATGTAGCTTTATCTATTCCTGACTTAGATTATGATGTTACATCTATGTGCATTAATTACGATTATTCTCTAAATGCCTTATTGGATCAACTAGCTCCCAGAAAAATAAGAACTATAGTTGTCAAACCCAAGTGT